CCCCCGGTCCAAAACAGTCCAGTGGCACCTTTAAGACCAAGTTTTATTCAGGTACAAGCTCTCCCTCCTCTGCGAGGACAGATTTGCAAACCCCCCCCCCCAATAGCTAGCAATTCAATACAGTCCAGTGGAGCCTGAGCGGTGGGTGTTGCCTTCTGACACACTTCCGGTGATGTCAGAGTGTGTGGCATATGCAAATAAGTTATGCTAATGAGTTATGCTAATGAGCTCCTGCACCTCTTTTTCTACGAAATGACCCCTGAGTTTGATTAAATTCTGCTTTTCTTTCTGTCTCTCCCATTTTCTCACACAGTCTCCGCCACACACACACACACACACACTTCTTTTTCTCTCCCCAATATAAATGCCGTTTGCAGTAGCCAATTAGAAAAGACTGTGTTTAATGTTTTCTCTGATGTTTAATAGGATCTCTCCCCCCCCCCTCCACCGCCCAGCAGGGTGAAAACATATCGATATGCCATGGTCCATTTCTCATAGACTGTGTAAATAGGATTCATTTCAATTTCAATTACATATATTCTTCTTCTCCCTTCTAAACCATTGTCTAGCTTTCTCCTCTATTAAACAGCCGCTACGTTTAATTCCAGAGATGTGGGATCTGCATATACATTTCAATACATGATACAATCTGGCTGAGTCTTTAAACACGGGAGTGGGGGATAAATACATGGTTTGAATGTAGAACTTTGGCACGCTCTGATCTAAATAGGATTCTTAATTTTTTAAATATATACCTATATGAATTTTGTGAATGTTGTCTTTATTAAGCAGAATCCGTTATCTGAAGTGAAGTGTCTTACGGGGAATCCCTGCTCCTTTTGACATGTTTAATGTCTGGTGTCGCCAGTTTGGTGTAGTGGTTAGGAGTGTGGACTTTAATTTGGGAGAACTTTGTTTGAATCCCCACTCCTCCACGAGCAGCCAGCTGGGTGACCTTGGGTCAGTCACAAGTCCTTTCAGAGCTGTTCTCTCACAAGCAGTCCTCAAAAGAGCTCTCCCAGCCCTGCCTACCTCACAGGGTGTCTGTTGTGGGGAGGGGAAGGGAAAGGAGATTGGAAGCCGCTCTGAGACTCCCTTGGGAAGTGAAGGGTGGGGTATATATCCAATCTCTTCTTCTACTCTTCTTTAATGGTTCAATCTTCTGTGTGTGTGTGTTGTGCCATCAAGTTGCTTCTAACTTATGGTGACCCAATGAATTAACAATCTCTAAACTATCATTGGAGCTGCGGTGGCTCAAGTGGTTAAGACGCTGAACTGCAGGCTGTGGAAGGTCGGTAGTTCAGCAGTTCAAGACCTGGGTGCCGCATGACGGAGTGAGCTCCCGTCTCTAGTTCCAGCTCCTGCCAACTGAGCAGCTCGAAAGCAAGAAATTGCAAGTAGATAAATAGGTACCACTTCGGTGGGAAGGGAACAACGTTTTGTGCGCCTTGGTGTTTAGTCATGCCGGCCACACGACCACGGAAACGTCTTCGGACAGCGCTGGCTCTTCGGCTTTGAAAAGGAGATGAGCACCGCAACCCTAGAGTCGGACTCGACTGGCTTTCGAGCAAGGGAACCTTTACCTTTACCTTTAAACTATCATTAGCAGCCTTGCCCAGGTCTTGCCAAGTGAGGTCCCTTGTGGCTTCCTTGATGCAGTCAATCCATCTCATGCTGGGTCTTCCTCTTTTCCTGCTGTTTTCAACTCTCTCTAGCATTACTGTCTTTTCCAGTGAGCCTTGTCTTCCCATAATGTGTCCAGATCAAGCTCTTAGATATTATTTTTGTGAGACTCAGGGGTTTCCATGCAGCCCCAGGTCAGATAGAGTGTCCCACCCAAAGTAAGAACACAAAGTAAATCTGGTAGAACAGTCATGGATTGGAATATCTAGATAGCCAGTTTGGTGTAGTGGTTAGTAACGTGGACTCTAATATGGGAGAACCGGGTTTGATTTCCCACTCCTCGACATGCAAGCTAGCTGGGTGACCTTGGGTCAGTCACAAGTTCTTTCAGAGCTTTTCTCCCAAGGGCAGTTCTTGAAAGAGCCCCACCTACCTCACAGGGTGTCTGTTGTGCGGAGGGAAAGGGAAAGGAGATGGTGAGCCGTTCTGAGACCCCTTTGGATAGTGAAGGGCAGGGTATAAATCCAATCTCTTCTCTCTTCTTCTTCTAGATTTCTCTTAACCGTCAAGTTCTTTGATTCCAATAGTCTGTGCAAAAGAAATGTTGATAGATGTTTGGTGTAGTCGTTAAGTGTGCGGACTCTAACCTGGGAGAACCGGGTTTGATTCCCCACTCCTCCACTTGCAGCTGCTGGGTGACCTTGGGCAAGCCATAACTCTGGCACAGCTGTTCTTGAAAAAGAGCAGTTTCTGTCAGAGCTCTCTCAGCCCCACCTCCATCACAGGGTATCTGTTGTGGGGAGGGGGAGGGAAAGGAGCTTGTAAGCTGCTCTGATACTCCACCTCCTCCTCCTC